AGCGATTTCGAACTGGGTCTATGATTCATGATTCAAACATACCTTCGACTACAAAAAATGCAAATATACCTTCGGGTACCTACCAAAATCTTACCAAAAACCTTACCAAAAACCTTACCAAAAACCTTACCAAAAACCTTGCCAAAAGTCTTACACAAAACGTGATCAGAAATGTGATATAAATATTATAACAATAACGAATAAAACGCAGACAAACTCGCAAACAAACGTAAATTCTGGACAAAGTTGCCTTGCCGTGAACAAACACGTGGTTATAAACATGGCCGCCAGCAGAAAGAACCAGGGCAATGTGATAACTTCTGAAGAGAAACCAACCGACAATCTCCCGGTTTGTGTAAACAAAGATCGCCGCCTCTATACTGCACAGTGCGCACTGGTATGTAGATTAGTAGATATGACTAAAGCGTTATTGCTATACATAATACAGTCGCTTGGTAATCTCCTCTCACGAGGCATTATTGTATTACACAGACGTTATAATGTTATGTGTTTAGTTTCGAAGGGAAGAATATTCTTGCCTTCCAGCCTTCGACGCACCAGTTGGTAACATTACACCAGCCGATCTGTGTAATGACAATAGGATAAATGCTTATAATTTTAACATATATGATAGATACTGTATGCTATATGACTATTAAAAAACATTGCTACATGGTTGTACTTGTTTTAACTATTAGCGCTAACTGCCAGGCAAACTGCAAGCTTCAAGATTCAATGTTTTCGGGAAAACAAACACGCTGTTCTTAAGTGGTATCACTTGTGCTTAAAATTGCATATTTCCATCGCCCCAGCGACTTTACGCTCCGTGGAGCGTCTTGTTAACATTCAAATAAAAGCTGAATAAATCACATCACAATCAATCAGCCAACATGCAGTGTAAAGCAGACATCGTTGGGATCCTTGACATGGACGGAATTCAAATTGGAAAGAAATTTTTCTGTAAGGAGTTGGGAGTCATAAAGGTCGGAGACTCTGAAGCCTCATCGTTCTTTTTTGACATTGGCTTACACTGGAACAACGAGAAAGACAAGAGAACGTGCAACTTCGTCCAGAAAAAGATACACAAACTCCCGTTTGGAGTGCCACAGGGCACTAAAGCATTTCAAATTTCGGACTTGCAGGCAATTATAGAGATTTTCTACCGTGAAATACAGATAGATTCAAACTCTACAATTGCCTTCAAAGGCGGACATTACGAAAGGGATTTGCTGGCGAGTCTCCGTATTTCGGCCGTAAAATTGGAATTCTTTAATTGTCCCAAAGCTGAAAAACTTTTTGATCAACTGATCTGGTTAGAAACCTGCGGGAACCATTTGGAAAGCAACGCTTATCAACACTGCCCAAAAGTCGAAGTCGAAGCCTTTGCAATGTAGCTGCAGCAGTAAAGACAAACACAAAACACCGGTTCTTTTAACAACCACCAAATTTACAAAAAAGAATAAAAACGAAACTCGATTATTAACATATTTACACTGAATCTCAAAGTTTCCACATATGCCTTATAATGATCTTCTTCGTGACTTTTAAATTGCTCGCCTGTCGCTTTCACAATATACTTAAAACTAGGGGGCATTGAAAAAAGACCATAGCCCCAGGTTCAAGTGGGTCATCACGACAACCCTCTGTTCAGTTAGAAAGTTGGTCTAAAATACTCAGAATCTCACTGTTCTCCACATTCATCATTGATTTAACATACATGGGGTCCCTCCTCAATTGATTCCAATATTCAAACACGTATTCATCCCACTGAAGCTCTACAACTTTGGTCACCTCAACAAACTTATTCCATACCATGTCTTTTTTGTTAACTCGCTCTATGGCTTCCAAATCATACATCTGCGATCGCTCCTCATACGATAACATAAGACACTCACTCTGACAAAAGCGATTTAGTTTACAACCACAGCACCTCTCTTTGAAAAGCTCATAAACCTCGCAAGAAACAGTTTGTGCAAATATTGTCTCTAACAAATTGCATAGCTTCCGAAATTCCATAGGCGAAACTTCGTCAACATTATTCGACCTTGAAGAACGCATACTTGGTCGGGAAAGAAAACATTCGTTAGCCCTATTTGGGCCTATTTAACCAATTACGTAAAAGGTATGACCATGACGTAACAGATTGTACGCACGCTAAGTACCAACTCTTGGACGTACACTAAGAACGAACGCTTGGACGTACACTAAGTACGAACGCATGGACGTACACTCCTTGTTGACGTCATACATACATTCGCTTGAATTACTGCCGTACCTATATGGGGGGGGGAGGGGGTTACCTACTCATATCGTCGGCAATCTTGGATGAAATTCGGAAAAATTATCTTTGGGTCAAATGACCGGTGTGACATCATTAGTAGGGTAGAATCAAAACAAATTGTGTCGCTGACAGAACTTTATATTTTTACAAGATAATTAACTGATTAAATTAATGCATGAATAATGGTTTAACCTGATTGACACGTAATTTGACGCACATTTATTGCTGCCGCAGCGAGCGAGCCTTCAGCGAGCGCGCGAGGCAGCAGTTTCTAATTCATGTAGCTGGCAAAATTCTCAATTTTTGATTGACAGATAGGTCCACAATGCAACTTCACAGGACCCAAAATGCAATGCGCGAGATTAATATAAAATAAGGCGACTGCACTTCCTGCACTGTTTCACGATTTCTCTCCGGACTGGCTTTGTTGCTACTTTCTCTGGCGAAGATACAGTATTCGAAAATTACAAACGTGAGTATTAAATATATGGTTTTGTTTTTTTAGTTTATCTTGCTTTGAAAGAGTTTTATAGTAGAAATCGTCCTATATTTACAAAATTATTTGTGTTTATTTATATAGGTAAAAATTTCCGCGTTGTTGGAAGGCCCTCTATAGACTAGTGAGTTTATATCATTTTAATATATTTAGAGTTTTGGTTTTTTAGTTTACCTCATGGTGCTTTAAGAGTGCCCGTTTAGTAGGGCTTGCAGATATGGTTATGTTCTACAATTATTTCTGTCTGTTGTAGATTTATAGGCAATTTGAATTTGAAGCGTCCTCGTGTTGCATTTTGGAAACCGGTTTTGCGGCGCTCAGACGGACTTTGGCCACTGTATAGATTATATGGTTTTGGTTTCTTAGTTTATCTCATAGTGCTTTAACAGTGTTTAGTGGGGCTTGTATATCTTTTTTTTACAATTACTTGTGTCTGTTGTATATCAGGCAATTTGAATTTGAAGCGTCCTCGTGTTGCATTTTGGAAACCGGTTTTGCGGCGCTCAGGCGGACTTTGGCCACTGTATAGATTATATGGTTTTGGTTTCTTGTTTATCTCATAGTGCTTTAACAGTGCTTATATAGTGGTGCTTGTATATATCTTTTTTTACAATTAGTTGTGTCTGTTGTATATTTATTTGCGATTTGAATTTGAAGCGTCCTCGTGTTGCCGCATTTTGGAAACCGGTTTTGCGGCGCTCAGACGGACTTTGGTCATTGTGAGTTATAGATTATATGGTTTTGGTTTCTTAGTTTATCTCATAGTGCTTTAACAGCGGTGCTTGTTGCTGCCGAAGGCAGCACACTATTCTTAACATGAAGTATTGCGTTTACGTGTGCCCAGTCTCTTTGGCCGAGTTATGTATAGCCGAACGACAACTCGATTTTGTTGACGGATGTACGGATTTTCAGTTTATGACGTTTTTTGACGTCACAGAAATTTTAAAAAATAACATACTCCAGATCGCGATTTGACTTTCCGAATACCCCGGTTCAGACTCACGAACACCACCATGAACGATTACAATTTGTACGGCATGTGCCTCGTTGCCTGTTGCAATTTTCAAATTTATGTCTGGCTGTTTATCGAAATATTTTTCTTGCATCTGGCCGTTTATCGAAAATATTTTTCAAGGTAAGATGAAAGTTTGATCACAAATAACAATGTGTTTTGGTCGAATGAATCAACTGTATTTTTATTAAATTTTAATTTAGGTGCCATACAAGTATACAACTCTTCATATATTAATACTGTAAAACAAGTGGAGTAAAAAATCTGTTTGAGCTTGATAGAACATCGTACATCAAGGTATAAATAATCACAGTGATAGTGTATTATAATATTGTTATTATGGGAATATCAAATGAGCAGTATCGTGCCCGCATTGGAACACATAAATATGTATACAAATGAAAAAATATCTGACTTGTAGAAAGATATTCCTATAGCAACCCAGTGTGGATTGTTGTCTGCACATATTAACTTACCAGCAGTTACATGTAATAACATGTCAACCGACATTTGTCAAAAGGTATGACGGTCTGTACAAATACATCTCTGAGATGTATGTCTATTGTTACTTGTTAGCATATATTCACCTGGCTGTGTCACTACAGTTCAGGGTATACTATATTTTTTTATAATGCTCACAATTTCTTGTATTATATAGTTTTGCAGTTCTGACTGAGTGCAATCTTGATCATTACAAATGAATGATGTCATCAGAAACTGACAAATGAACAAAACTGTCAACAAACAGATTTTGTCTCCCCATCAGGCATTGCCGCATCAGCAGATTGTCCAGTTGTTTTGCAATTTAGGGATCAGGGTTGTAGCAACAATAATTTGTAAACTAGCAATAATTACCCCAGACTAATCAGCCCTCCAATATAAAATTGCTTCCAATGGTAGTGTGGATAGCTTTGAAGGTAACCTGAGATCAGGCTCTATTTTACAAATATACCCTGACACAAACATTAATCCGATAATTTTCCACCTATTTGCAGCAAACTTATATTTATTATCTAATCAAAATGTTGCAGGAGAAATTTAAATTTCACATTATAAACAACAACATAATATAATTAGCACCAACCAATCAAATGACAGATTAAAAAATCTTTTTCTCTCATATACCAATCAGATTTACACCCGAAAAACGATTGTAAGGCATGATCTTTTGTTAAAGACGATGTAAAGTCTGTAATGTAAACAAACGCTTTGTTTACATTTTGAACTCAGTGCTACAGTTACAAAATATGATTAGATATATATTATACTGAATTTTTAACACTCTTCTGGTTCGCTATACTTGTAAATGAATACAGACTATAGAGATTCATTTCAAGAAAGTTCAAAACATACAAAATATTAATAACATTCCAACGGTCGGGTCCCAACTATTGGAATGTAAGCCTGCACAGAACGTATGCACAGAACGGATTTTACATGGTCTTTAAGGTTTGTATCAGGCCTATTTATTTATTTATAGGTCTGATCACAGATTACTTTGAAGGTGTCATTAAAACGATAATTGGGTCAAAAACTGACTTAATATTTCTGTATATGAAATTGTTATTAAATTCTACATGTCCAATGATTCATTTAAGTATTATTATTGTTTATATATAATATGATATTGTACATTATTCAATTGCAAGCTGGCTACAATGTCAACTGGTCATGCCGCACCTATAAACCTGGATCTATTTGAATAATGCAAATTATTAAAAACTTGTATACCGTAGCATGACCGATAATGTACTCAGGTGAATATGATGTTTGTGATGTTACTCTGAGTGTATATCCAAACCGAAAAATATGCCTAGCCAAGGTGGGAATTGAACCTACGACCTAGCTTCACCACTGACTGTATTAGAATTAGAATAGATCATTAGAATAGTTAGCTGACCTTTTGACATTGTGCAAGATGTTTGGTATTCGAATTGCACCTTTCTACTTCCTGAACATGCGTTTTAGGGGCTGTTTACATGATGGGAGGTGGGGTGATTTTTGATGTATTGAAATAATGAAGTTTTTTGCTGAATTGTGCGCTGTGACTTATTTCAATACATCGAAATCATTCCGCTTCATATCTCGTCCTGGCAAAGCGGGATCATATAAACAGCCCCTTATTCAGTAAATTGCGCATGCTGCCTTTCATCCCTTGTGGGTGAAGCAGCATTTCCTTGCGTTAGTAACTTCTAGTTATAAAGGTTGTCGCAAATCTTGGCAGTATTAATATAGTTTAATAACAAATATAATAAGACCAAACTTACAAAAACTTTGCAAACCTTGCAAATGTTGACTAGAAGGATAACCAGTCAGCGATTTTATCCTTATTAATTAAACAAATGTTGACACAGTGTGAAAAATACGGTTTATTGTTTTGATCATATTATCGCGTCAGGAATTCTAGTATATTCGTATTATAACTAAATCTCGCGTATATATAAGTGATAAATCTGGACAAGGTTTACAAAAAAGATTGCATCCTAATCTCGATTGCCAGAGAATTTGTTGTCTTTAAACCGCACACAAATACTGAAGCTGGGCAGAAATCAGTTCACACCAGACAAAAGACATGCAGGTGATTTATGCACAGCGAGTGTTTGATGCGTTAATTACCTCAAAAACATATATTCATATGTTAATTTTTAGAATAGACACACTTCCTACAATAATCACATGATATGCAATCTTTCTTGTAAACCTTGCTCTAGATTTAGCACTTGTACGTACGCGAGATTTATTGTAAACGAATATATAAGGATGTCTGACGCGTTAGTATGAACAAAACAATAAACCATATTTTTCACATTGGATCAACATTTGTTTAATTAAAAAGAAAGATATCGTTGACTGGTTTATTCTAATCAACATTTGCGAGGTAAGTTTGGTTTTATCATATTTGTTATTAAACTATTGACACTGCCAAGATTTGCGACACACTTTATAAATATAGTTCAAGTGTAAAATATTGAAAATGACAAGAGCGTTGTATGCGTTGTTGATTTATAGTCATACCTAATTTTAGTGTGCAGTGATAACCAATTTGTGCAGTGATAAAAGTAAAATGTGCAGTGATAAAATGTAAAATGTGCAGTGATAAAATTTGATTTGATAAGTTGTTAATTAACACAAGAGAATGATTTAATTGAAATTGAAATGATGACTGCCAAATTATCGAATTAAATAATAGTAAAAGGTTTTTGTACGAAAATCATGAGATTCAGGCAATTTTTAGTTAATATCTGGCTTTTGGTATGTCCGGAAAAATTTTTTGACCCTTAAAATGGTACACTGACCAAAATTTTTAAGGATGGTCGCCAAAAATTTCCGAATATTCGGAAATTTTCTTAGTCATTCGGAAATTTTTGGCATAAAATGTGCAGTGATAAAAAATTCTTAAAATTAGGTATGTTTATAGTCTAGCTGAATCGCATTAATAGCTAGCTTAGAGATTCGTACGAAGTAACCCTTCCGGCACACAACATTCATGCGCTTCTACAGATGATATTAAGAAGATATTTTAGTCGTGAATTTTATCTCGCCGTGGCCAATCATATGTACCTAAATTTGTCTGACAGAGACGGTGCCATCTGTGCAATTTTAACCTACCTTAGACTACCTTAGCCTACCTTAGGATACCTTAGACTACCTTAGCCTACCTTAAACTATCTTAGCGTACCTTAGCCTACCTTAGACTACCTTAGGGTACCTTAGACTACCTTAGCCTACCTTAGCCGAACTTAGACTACCTTAGCCTACCTTAGATTACCTTAGGGAGCCTTAGACTACCTTAGCCTACCTTAGGGTACCTTACACTACCTTAGACTACCTTGGGGTACTTTAGACTACCTTAGGGTACCTTAGAGTCACCTTAGCCTACCTTAGCTTACCTTAGCCTACCTTAGGGTATCTTCGACTACCTTAGCCTACCTTAGCCTACCTTAGCCTACCTTAGACTACCTTAGCCTACCTTAGGGTACCTTAAGGTACCTTAGCCTACCTTAGCCTACCTTAGCTTACCTTAGCCTACCTTAGCCTACCTTAGACTACCTTAGCCTACCTTAGACTACCTTAGCCTACCTTAGATTACCTTAGGGTACCTTAGACTATCTTAGCCTACCTTAGGGTGCCTTAGACTACCTTATACTACCTTAGGGTACCTTAGACTACCTTAGGGTACCTTAGACTACCTTAGCCTACCTTAGCCTACCTTAGCCTACCTTAGACTACCTTAGCCTACCTTAGAGGAGCTTAGACTACCTTAGCCTACCTTAAACTACCTTAGGGTACCTTAGACTACCTTAAGGTACCTTAGACTACCTTAGACTACCTTAGCCTACCTTAGCCTACTTTAGGGTACCTTAGACTACCTTAGCGTACCTTAGAGTACCTTAGACTACCTTAGCCTACCTTAGCCTACCTTAGGGTACCTTAGACTACCTTAGACTACCTTAGGGTACCTTAGACTACCTTAGGGTACCTTAGAGTCACCTTAGCCTACCTTAGCCTACATTAGCCTACCTTAGACTACCTTAGCCTACCTTAGGGTACCTTAGCCTACCTTAGGGTACGTCAAAGCAAATGTGCAGTTACAAAAACGGTGAAAATCGTGCAACCTTGTAAACAAAGTATTTTCGCCGGTTTCTCGAAATTTACTCACAAAACATTTTTGCATGCTTTGAACGTCACTACTGTCACTGTTTTGCTAATATCTTGTTAGATTACAAAATGATAGTTCTTTCTTCGTCGCGTTTCGTTTTTCTTTGATGTAAACAAAGGTTTTTTATTCTTTTGAAACAAAAATATTTAGTTGTCGATAGACTGTAAACTGTCTAAATAATCGTGGAAAACTATGGTTTCAAAAGCGTTGCCTCAAGCTCAAGCAACACAGAAAAATATGAAAAGTAATTGTGTAAGTTTAAAAAGATTATTGAACTTCATTTATATTATATTATATTATAAAAAAGCTGAAATATTTATAGAACATACCTATTGAGTTTGAGTTTGTCTTGATCTTTCGGGTTTTGTTTTGGCTTGCACAACAACGTTGAAAATTTATTTATAAACGATGATTTCTGTATATATTCTGTTCAGAACTGTTGCTTTTCGTAAAAGAGCCCACTAGGATGGATTTTTAGACACTTTTTTCACTTTTTTTCCCCATTTTTAGTCTTGATATAAATTTTTTGAAAACTTTCCATTTGAAAAAACAATTCGCACTCTCTGCGACCGCGCGATATTCAAACTGAAATTTCCTGCCGCCTGGGAGTCTGGAAACCAAAATGCCCTTATAAATCCGCCATTTTGGGGAGACAAATTTTTTCACTGAGAAAAAATAGGAGTACGCATTCTATATCTATTATTTCTATGCATTTGCTTCACGTTTCTCCAGCATGTTATCATTACGGATAAAAGATATGGAGTTCACTGGTCTAGAGTTCATCAATTATCGCGGGCGCGGTTCATGGTGTATGGCATAGATATAGGATCTCACTGATCTCAAAATATGGCTGTTTGCCAGGAGTGAAGAAGGGGAAAATATAAAAATTACACGTAAGAAAGCTTGGAAAATCACTTCACATAACAAATTATGAAACATTTTTCAATTTTTAAACGTAAACATTTATAAGAGTTGATTTAGTACGAGAAATCCTAAAGTATAGCCTATTGGGCAAGTGTGTTTCAATTGTTTATGTTTGACTTTGTATTTATAATGTTAAAGACTTTGTTCTTGTTGTTCAAGTCTTTCCTATGGATTGTATGCGAAAGTTTCATAGTTAAGTTAACTTTTGTAGAAGTTCATCATAAAAAGGAAAGCAAATTATTTTCATTAGCGTTCTGTACGAATTAAATTTACTTCATTTCAAATTGTGAGTAATAAGTTAGCTCAAGTTATCGCGATCGGCAAAAAGCAGTTAATTTCAATTCACATTTAAAAAATTTTACCTAGAGTTCCGTTTTCAATTTACATTAAAATAAAGCAGATAGAAACCAAAATCATATACCTACTTTATATATTTCAGAAATTGATAGTTCTGTACTTAAAAGTGTTCAAATTTCATCTATTGTTTCCAGGTTTGAGGTTTGTACAAAAAAGTTTTAAAAAAATTATCGTGTTGCCATGAGTAAATATTGAAATATAACTCATATAATTTGGATGGTCCATTGACCATTTGCGTAATAGACTAAATTTTGATCTAGACAAAAATTTCATCACAGCTTGAAAGAGCATCACAAAATTAGTAATATTCTAAAGTTTCGTTGCGAAATGTTATAAAATGCGGATAATATAGCCTTGCGAAATTTGCCGTTTTTCAGTCATTTCGTATTACGCATGGGAAATTGACAGCCCAATCGCGGTGTTGCGGCATCAATTTCCCGTTTGCCACAATACGTAAGCGTTGGTAATATCATCGAACAATAAATGGCATTGGCTGCCGCCTGATCCAAGTAGATTCTCATTTTTTCCAGGAATCTTAATCTTCCAGCTGCCCGTTCACAGCACGACTCAAAATTGGAATTTAGATTCAGCGAACTATACACTAATACTCCCAGATATTTGTATATAATCTGTTGCTGTAATAACAGTAGGTGATGGACGTGATATCGATATTTAAGAAGTTCACTTTGTTTTGCAATCCTTTGCGCAGTTCCAAATGAAAGAGGTTCTCTTTTCAATTCCCTCTCTTTAGATTAAAAATCAATTCGTTATCCTTAAGGTAGTCTAAGGTAGGCTAAGGTAGTCTAAGGTAAGCTAAGGTAGGCTAAGGTAGGCTAAAGTAGGCTAAGGTAGGCTAAGGTAGGCTAAGGTAGTCTAAAGTAGGCTAAGGTAGTCTAAGGTACCCTAAGGTAGTCTAAGGTAGGCTAAGGTAGGCTAAGGTAGTCTAAGGTAGGCTAAGGTAGTCCAAGGTACCCTAAGGTAGGCGAAGGTAGGCTAAGGTACCCTAAGGTAGTCTAAGGTACCCTAAGGTAGGCTAAGGTAGGCTAAGGTAGGCTAAGGTAGTCCAAGGTACTCTAAGGTACCCTAAGGTAGTCTAAGTGTGAAATTTATTAATAGTTTTTGTATTTTATTCTACACTGAAGGTTTTACCGTGTTTAAATAAATGTTCAATGTTCAACGTTCAATGTTCAAAGGTGGGCTAGGGTACTCTAAGGAAGACTAAGGTAGTCTAAGGTAGGCTAAGGTACCCTAAGGTAGTGTAAGGTAGTCTAAGGTAGGCTAAGGTACCCTAAGGTAGTCTAAGGTACCCTAAGGGAAGAGTAGCTAAGGTAGGCTAAGGTAGTCTAAGGTACCTAAGGTACCCTAAGGTAGTCTAAGGTACCCTAAGGTCTAAGGTAGGCTAAGGTAGGTTAAGGTAGTCTAAGGTAGTCTAAGGTACCCTAAGGTAGTGCTAAGGTACCCTAAGGTAGTTTAAGGTAGGCTAAGGTAGTCTAAGGTAGTCTAAGGTAGTCTAAGGTAGGCTAAGGTAGTCTAAGGTAGTCTAAGGTAGGCTAAGGTAGTCTAAGGTACCCTAAGGTAGGCTAAGGTAGGCTAAGGTAGTCTAAGGTAGGCTAAGGTATAAGGTACCCTAAGGTAGGCTCAGGTAGGCTAAGGTAGTCTAAGGTAGGCTAAGGTAGATATATATAACCATTTATATCAACTGAAACAGCAAATCCAAATTTACAACGCTATAATTCAACCTCACTTTGATTACTGTAGTCCCATATGGGACGAATTTGGCGCAACATTATGTGAAAAAAATGCAAAAATTGCAGAATAGAGCTGCTAGAGTGATTACGAAATCCAGCTACGATGTCAGCTCTAGCATTCTCTTAGAGAAACTGCATTGGGACAATCTTTCCTTACGTAGGAAAAAGCACAAGTCTATATAAAGGTTTAAAACTATCAATAAGCTAACGCCAGAGTATTTACAAAACATGTTTACATTTCGCAGCACAGATTATAACTTAAGAAATGCAGAAATGAAGCTAAATTTACCAAAACCACGTACGGACTTTATGAAGCGTAGTTTCTGCTACAGTGGAGCAAGTTTATGGAATGCACTTCCTCAAACTGCACCTACGTCCAAATCATTGAGGCATTTCAAAAATGAAATTAATCAATTCTTGACATTATAATGGGATCCCCACACGGCAATCTTGGAAAACAGTGCATTTTAGTTAGGAAATTAGTGTGTATATAGTGATGTGTGAAATTTATTAATAGTTTTTGTATTTTATTCTACACTGAAGGTTTTACCGTGTTTAAATAAATGTTCAATGTTCAACGTTCAATGTTCAAAGGTGGGCTAGGGTACCCTAAGGAAGACTAAGGTAGTCTAAGGTAGGTACCACTAAGGTAGGCTAAGGTAGGCTAAGGTAGGCTAAGGTAGTCTAAGGTAATCTAAGGTACCCTAGGGAAGTCTAAAGTACCCTAAGGTAGAATAAGGTAGGCTAAGGTAGTCTAAGGTACCGTAAGGTAGGCTAAGGTAGTAAGGTAGGCTAAGGTAGGCTAAGGTAGTCTAAGGTACCCTAAGGTAGTACAAGGTAGTCTAAAGTACCCTAAGGTAATATAAGGTAGGCTAAGGTAAGCTAAGGTAGGCTAAGGTAGGATAAGGTCTAAGGTACCCTAAGGGAGGCTAAGGTAGTCTAAGGTAGCCTAAGGTAGTAAGGTAGTCTAAGGTACCCTAAGGTAGTCTAAGGTAGTCTAAGGTACCCTAAGGTAGTCTAAGGTAGGCTAAGGTAGTTAAGGTGGCTAAGGTAGCCTAAGGTAGGCTAAGGTAGGCTAAGGTAGGCCAAGGTACCGTAAAGTAGGCTAAGGTAGGCTAAGGTAGGCCAAGGTAGTCTAAGGTACTCTAAGGTAGTCTAAGGTAGTGTAAGGTAGGCTAAGGTAGCTAAGGTAGTGTAAGGTAGGCTAAGGTAGGCTAAGGTAGTACAAAGTAGTCTAAAGTACCCTAAGGTAATATAAAGTAGGCTAAGGTAGTCTAGGGTAAACTAAGGTAGGCTAAGGTAGTCTAAGGTAGTCTAAGGTAGGCTAAGGTAGTCTAAGGTAGTCTAAGGTAGACGAAGGTAGTCTAAGGTACCCTACGGTAATCTAAGGTAGGCTAAGGTACCCTAAGGTAGGCTAAGGTAGTCTAAGGTAGGCTAAGGTAGGCTAAGGTAGGCTAAGTTAGTCTAAAGTACCCTAAGGCAGGCTAACGTAGTCTAAGGTAGGCTAAGATAGTCTAAGGTACCCTAAGGTAGGCTAAGGTACTCTAAGGCAGGTTAAGGTAGGCTAAGGTACCCTAAGTTAGTTTAAGGTGGGCTAAGGCTAAGGTACCCTAGGGAAGTCTAAAGTACCCTAAGGTAGAATAAGGTAGGCTAAGGTATTCTAAGGTAGTCTAAGGTAGGCTAAGGTAGTCTAAGGTACCCTAAGGTAGGCTAAGGTAGGCTAAGGTAGTCTAAGGTACCCTAAGGTAAGCTAAGGTAGTCTAAGGTAGCCTAAGGTAGGCTGATATAAGGTAGGCTAAGGTACTCTAAGGTAGTCTAAGGTAGGCTAAGGTAGTCTAAGGTACCCTAAGGTAGTCTAAGGTAGTCTAAGGTAGCCTAAGGTAGGCTAAGGTAGTATAAGGTACCCTAAGGTAGTCTAAGGTAGTCTAAGGTACCCTAAGGTAGTCTAAGGTAGGCTAAGGTAGGCTAAGGTAGTCTAAGGTAGTCTAAGGTAGGCTAAGGTAGTCTAAAGTAGTCTAAGGTAGTCTAAGGTACCCTAAGGTACACTAAGGTAGTCCATGGTAGTCTAAGGTAGTCTAAGGTAGTCTAAGGTAGGCTAAGGTAGTCTAAGGTGGTCTAAGGTAGCCTAAGGTAGTCTAAGGTAGGCTAAGGTAGTTTAAGGTGGTCTAAGGTACCCTAAGGTAGTCTAAGGTAGGCTAAGGTAGTCTAAGGTACCCTAAGGTAGGCTAAGGTAGGCTAAGGTAGGCTAAGGTAGGCTAAGGTAATCTAAGGTACCCTAAGTTAGTACAAGGTAGTCTAAAGTACCCTAAGGTAATATAAGGTAGGCTAAGGTAGTCTAAGGTAGTCTAAGGTAGGGTAAGGTAGGGTAAGGTAGTCTAAGGTAGTCTAAGGTAGTCTAAGATAGTCTAAGGTACCCAAACTAAAGTACCATAAGGTAACATAAGGTAGGCTAAGGTAGTCTAAGGTACCCTAAGGTAGGCTAAGGTAGTCTAAGGTAGTCTAAGGTAGGCTAAGGTAGTCAAGGTAGTCTAAAGTACCCTAAGGTAATATAAGGTAGCCTAAGGTAGTCTAAGGTAGTCCTAAGGTAGGCTAAGGTAGTCTAAGGTACTAAGGTAGGCTAAGGTAGTCTAAGGTAGTCTAAGGTAGGCTAAGGTAGTCTAAGGTACCCTAAGGTAGTCTAAGGTAGGCTAAGGTAGTAAGGTAGGCTAAGGTAGGCTAAGGTAGGCTAAGGTAGTCTAAGGTAATCTAAGGTACCCTAGGGAAGTCTAAAGTACCCTAAGGTAGAATAAGGTAGGCTAAGGTTGTCTAAGGTACCCTAAGGTAGGCTAAGGTAGTCTAAGGTACTCTAAGGTAGTCTAAGTTAGGCTAAGGTAGTGTAAGGTAGTCTAAGGTACCCTAAGGTAGGCTAAGGTAGTCTAAGGTAGTCTAAGGTAGGCTAAGGCAGGCTAATGTAGGCTAAGGTAGGCTAAGGTAGTCTAAGGTACCCTAAGGTAGTCTAAGGTAGGCTAAGGTAGACTACGGTAATCTAAGGTACTCTAAGGTAGCCTAAGGTAGGCTAAGGTAGTCTAAGGTACCCTAAGGTAGGCTAAGGTAGGCTAAGGTAGTCTAAGGTAGGCTAAGGTAGGATAAGGTAGTCTAAGTTACCCTTAGGTAGTACAAGGTAGTCTAAGGTACACTACGGTAATCTAAGGTAGTCTAAGGTACCCTAAGGTAGGCTAAGGTAGG